GAATTTCTTAATGATAAGGACAGTAAAGATCATGATAGCTTTGTAATTAAAAATACTTAGATAGACAGGTAGTAATAAAACTAATCTGCTATGATGCTCTTTATTCTGTGGAATAACCACTGTAAGCTGCTGCCTAAAATTATGTTAAGAACAAACCACAATTCTCTGCTGCACCAAAAATGTTCAAAAAATGGCATCAAGTTATGAGATGCACTAAGTTTTTTCTAAGATATATATAAAGCACACTGATTCTCACATCTCTTTTTAACACTGTTTCACTTCTTTAACTGCATGGCTTTCCTCCGTCAGACAGTTCATTAGCGTGTCCTGTGTCTTAAAACTATTTCCAAAAAAGTCTATATATTCATAGAAATAAACGACTGCAAAAGGTATTCAAAAGACCATCTGATCAAGTCCTCTGCACTGAAGTAGGATCCAGTATATTAGCCTCAACAGGCATAAACGTATATCACTGTGTAAAAACTCTGATTTTAAGGAAACAGTGTGATATGAAAACCAGCTGGAATCCCCTGTTACTTATCAGAAATTGCAACAGCTAGCAATAAATTACTGCCTTGGCTAATACTTTCATGTTTTTGATTTTTCACTTCCTCACCTCTCCTTTAGTAACAACCCTGCATTAAATCCCTGCTCAACAAAGTCAACAGGAAAATTCCCATGAACTTCAATAGTTTTTCTTCTTGATTTAGATGAGTGGCCATGAAAATCTTTGGCTGACAGATTTATTTAGAGACAGCAAGACACCTACATTTTAAATCTTTGCTTTAGCCTGTCTTTTATTTAAGTGTGTGCTTTGGGAATACATTTATATAATTTTTAAATTTCAGTATAAATCCTGAGGTAAAATGTCACTACTAAACCAACATTTACCAATTTTTCATTTAATGGATTTGTGATGAAGAGTTGAGCTTCACGAGAAAAATTAAAAGTTTCTTACTGAGTTCTGATGACACAGAAAGAGTTGTCTCTGCCTTGAGGAACGGAAAGCACTAGATCATCTCTCTGAGTCCCTGTCAACCCTGTGATACTTAGACATAACTAGTTTGCTTTTGACTTCAATCAGACAGACCTGTGGCTAAGACAGATCAGAAAATAAAAAGAACATGCCACAGAAAAATAATGTGATTTACTTGTTTAAATCCATTAGCTACAGGAAGCAAATAACCTCACTTATTTAAGCTCACTATGAACAGGTTTGCTGTTCCTCAATAAGATACTGAGTGCAGTCTTAAGATGCTCTCTTTGATGTAGATCTCATGCTGAGGTTCTTTCTCCATATAATGATGAGGAGGAGCACTAGAGCTAACTACCAAAAGGGCCAGTGAGAATGGATTTTCATCCTGCCAGAATTGCCTGGGATTAGTAAAACAATCATCCTCTAGATGAGTCTGATTGTTCTTCTATCAATAGATCTCTGATGAATTCAAATATCAAAACAATTTAAAAAGAGACATGGCTTCACACAATAATAGAACACAAAACTTTTTTTGGGGGGAGGTTTTTTTGTTTGTTTCTAAAAAGATCTTTAAGGTTCTTGGGCATAGCAAGAATTTGAAAAAGCTACTTAAAGCTTGTGATTTAGATGTGGTGTTGTTCTAATTGTTGGTTGTTTTTTTTTTTGTGTTTCATTTTAAGATTTGTCCCAAATCCCACAGAAGTGAATGGAAATCATTGCACTAACTTCAAGGCCTGATAGATCTGCCTCTCAAGCTACTCTGCAGGGATGCTCTCTTCCTTTCTTGGCTTCTTGTTTATTCTTTTGAAAATACCAAAGGATAATATACGGGGGGGGAGGGGGGGAAATGTCCTGATACAAAATGAGGCAACCAACCTGTCTGTTTGGCCTAACCTAAAACTAATTAATAAAACAGTTAACTGCCCTCTGGATGGATATAATGTCCATATAATGTCCCAAGGAAAAAAGAATGCATCTTTTCCAAAGGAGGGAAACAAGTTACAGCAGAGGTAAAGGACAAGGGTAATGGCTTCATAATGGTAAAGGGCCTAGCTGGTTCCAATACAAAACTTTAAACCCCTAAATAATCAATACCTAATTAAAGAAAAAAATGGAATGGCCTTAGCATTTGTAGCAGCATCTGTATCTTGGAAATCCACCTCCTACAGGTGGAAATTTGACAATCTTTGCTGAAGGAGTTACAAACTATCTCAAACCAGCAGCTTCAGGATGTTGTCCATCAAGATTGCATAGTCAGCTATAGAAGTTTGCAGACTTCTTAGATCTTCTTTGGGGATGTGGGGGAGAAAAGAGGGACTATTTGCTTGCCTGTTGCAATGCTGCTTTCAGTTCTTATGAGGACTCTGCTATCTGACTCAAATCAACACCCCATAAAGACTTTGGGTTTTTTATGAGCAACAAAATTATTCTGTCTTGACAGTGTTACATAGATTTCCTTCCCATGTGATCTGCTCCCAGGGCTAGTAGAAGATGCAAACCTAATCCATGACCAGTAATGAAGGTGGGCAGAGGATCTTGAATTAAGGTAATATTTTGGTAAATTCTGGAGGAGAATTCAATTCCATCCTGTGGTGGCAATATGTGTTTCTGAGGGCAAAGTTAAAGCAAAGAAGCAAAAAGCTAATGGAGAGAAACATTGGATTTATTTGGGGACTGGTTAATTAATATGCTGCTTTGTTTCTCAGCTTATTACTGTTCTCCCTCCCTCTTCACTCAACCTAGTCATCAGCGTCACCAGAGAAAACTCCTTATATGCCCCCATAAATATCTAAAAGCAAGAAATCATGTAGCGACAAAGAGAGGGCACCTCCCTTCTGTTACCCTGGCAATCCACAGGTCAGACCAGTGTATTTAGTGCAGTGCTCTGACCTCTAAAAAAATTGTGTGATCAAACCCTTTGCAAGCCTTCATTAGTTAAACTTGGTTTGATTTCTGATCTTAGTTGCATCACTCCCCCACCCTCAAAGGTGAGTGAGGATGGCACAAGCATAGAGGGATGTGGGGAAGAAGCTGGTTCCCATCACCAGCAATGATGGTGAGATACAGCCCAGAGTATGCCCTGCCTGAGATAACTAGAGAAGGATATGAAAGATAGAGTTTTGGGAAAGAGACAGAGTTTGTAGGGAAATGTTATATGCCAGACAGATTCAGAAGAGTTTAAATCTCTTTCAGATCTAAATTCCCCATTTTCACATCTTCAAGGATATTTCAAATATATTTTCTTTTTCTCCCACTCTTATTAAATAAATATCTCTGTGGTACCTTCTGACAAAATGTTATACTTGCAAAATCTGTCATAACGCAAAATATTGTCTGGTATAATTTAAAAAATATGTATTGCCTTTCAGTCTACCAAGACCATCTTCATTCTCTGCTCTCTGAAAGTTGAGACCTTATTAATTAATTTTTGCTTATTTATTTAGGGCTCTAGAAGGCAAGTTTTTTAACCTGTGGGTTTAATGGTTTCACTAGGTCAGTACCTTTTTTGCCAGCTTTTCATTAAGTCTCATTGTCAAACATTAAAAAAGCTGTTTCAGAGAGTCAAACTTTTACAAGGCCCCCAGTTTGTGAATTTGCCCATCAAAGACAGTCTACCATGTTCCTTTCCATCAAAACAGTACTAAATTTATACACACTTCAGACTTTGTCCATAGCTTCTTGATTCAATAAGAAATCGGGGGCATAAAATAGTTCCCTTGTACTCCCAAGGGAATCCCGCTAAGTTAAAGCACATTTTAATCTCTTGAGCCGGCAGCTTTATTAGTAAGCGTTTCCCAATCTTCAGGGAAATCTAATTTCACAAATAGATCAGAGTCACTTCAAACGCAGCTTTCAGTTGCCATCCACCGGGGGACAAACGGGGAGGAGGAAGTTTGTCAGAAAAGACCGTCTCTGAGCCCAAGAGTGATTACCAGAGGTTTCTCCATCGACCGCCACCCACCTAAAGTCGATAGTACTCAAATGAGTACGCCGGTGCGGACTATATAAGAGAAGCGCATGGCCCTGAAGGGCGCATCCCCCATCTCCGGGCGCAGCACCGAGCGCCCCGCTCCGCGCTTGGCGGAGCCTCCGCGGGTACAGGGGCTCTCCGACGGCGGCACAGCACCTCGGTGCTCGGCCCGCACGCACCCAGCCGGACTCGCCTCCGCCTGAAGGTAAGCAGCCGCCCGCCGGCTCTCCGGAGGGCACTTCTGCGTGGCGAGTCGCTGCCCTGGCAGCGAAACCCTGGTCGTTCCCCGGGTTACCCCCCGGGTTTGCCGTGCGCCCCGGCGGTAGCGGAGGGAGGGAGAGCCCGGAGCCGTCGGGGAGAGCCGGCTCCCTTGCGTCTCCGATTAACTTCTTCGCCCAAGAGGATTTGCACGGGAGGCCAAGTATAAAAGAGTTTGTAAATAACAGAATTTCCCTCCCTCCCCCTTAATCCTACCCGTTTTCTATAATTAGAATAGCTTACTTAGGGGCATTAAGCACCGCTCTCGAAGCCCCTGCCTGTTGTAATTGTTTTTGCCCTTTACACCCTGATTTGCAGCAGTTCCGATGTAACTCGCCCCTCACTGAACCCCGTCCAGTTGCCCGTCCATGCGCTCTCCCTCGAACACCACCGTGTGGCACTACCCTGGGGCGGCGGGCGGGTGGGAAGGCTGGCCCGCCGGCGGAGCAAGGAGGCACCCACAGGAGCTCTGGGGGCAAAGGGAGCCGAGCAAATCCCCTGCAAAACCCTGTACCGCGAATATGTGTGGCGGGATTAATACCCTTCCCCTAATCCGTGTCTATAAACGCACCCTCCGGGGAGCCGGGCGAGCGCAGCGGGACATCCCTGGGGCTGGCGGGGCCGGGCGGGGTCGGCCCGTCGGGTCCCCGCACCGGGAGGGCTGAGCTCGGCTCAGCGTGCGGGAGCGGCGGGCGGGAGTGCCCCCGGGCGCGGCATGGGGGGCGGGCAGGCAGGGTGCGGGCCGGGGCCGGCGCTGACCGCCTTCGCTCTCTACCTCCTCCCAGCGCCGCAGAGATGCGAGGGGCGAAGAAGCGCCAGGCGCTGCCCGCCATCGTGCTCCTGCTGCTGGCCTCGGCCCCGCCGCCGCCGGGCGCCGAGGGCAGGGACGTGCCCGCCGCCGGAGCTGAGCGGGGGGCGCTCCTCGACATCCTCCTCCAAGCCCTGGGCGACGACGGCCGCCCGCTGCCGCCCCGCCCGCCGCGGAGGGAGCGGGTGATCTCCCGGCGCTACAGCGGCGGCGGTGCCCCGCAGACAGACCCCCGCGCCGCCGCCGCCGCCCCCCGGCCACCCCCGGCCAACGCCGCCGCCCCGCCGCCCCCGCGGCTCCTCGCCACCGCCCGGCACGGAGGTAAGAGCCGCCGCGCTGCCCCGCGCAGGGAGCTCCGGGGTGCAGCCCCCTGATCATCCCGTCCCTGCCGCCGCCTCCATCGGGCCAGCCCGACGGCTCCTTCTCCGGAGCAGCCCGCTGCAGGAGGGGGCGGAAGAGTGGGAAGTGGGCAGGGGGTGGGGATGCGCTCCCATCGCCCCGGGACAGCCACGGTGGGGCTCTGCCTTAGAGGCAGAGCAAGGTTCGAGCCCCCTTGAGGGTAGCACAGCCCAGCCCCGCTCCCCGGCTGGAGCTGTGCGGGGTGTTCGAGACGTAAGGGAGGAGAGGGTAATTGGGACTTCAGCATTTTCTGCCGGCGGGTCAGCTGCGGCCACCGTTCATCTACAGACCCTCAGAGCAAGCCTTCCAACTTCCCTACATTGCAAAGTAGCACTGGGGGAACGCCGTTTCTCCTCAAATTTAGAACCACTCCTCTGATTTGCACAAAGAGGAAAAATTAGTAATCTGAGAGACAGCTGTCTGGACTTACTCCTTTAAACTTTCTCTTCAACTTTACTGTTTCCTGTGTGATGCATTTTTCTAGTTTTCCAGGGCAGCTGCAGAAGATCCAGGCTGTACTGGCCATGGGGGTTTGTTTCACCTTTTGGAGGATGCTCAGACTGGGGCAGGCAGCTGTCTCCAGCACTGGCACAGACCAGGCTGGGCTGTGACAGCAGGGAGAGTTCAGGGCCAAGCACAGCTACCTGGTGATAGTGAGATTGTCCGTGGCCAGGAGACTGCCACAGACAGCTAGGTTGGATGCAGAGCTATGCAAAAACTTTTCCTACTAGAATGGAGCTACCTGAGGGTTTGTGTAGGTTAGGATGGTGCAGTTCAGCAAAAACGAGATTATAGTGACTGTTCTTGGCTGTTACCAAGCGTTTTTCTCTTGTTGCCTACCAGAGATCGTACTGGAGAGAAACTAAACTGAGGAAACCCAGGGAAGTTCGTTTTCTTAGGGATTTGTGTCCCTGGAGGGCATACCTCTGGTTGATGACTGGTGAAGCTGAGACGCAGCCCTCCACTTTGTTCTTTTCTGTTCAGTAGTCTGTTTTAAAGGAAATCAAACCCCACTTTCAAAAAACTTGAAGTTGGGTGACAAGTTCAGAAGTTAATAGGTGAATAACTGATTGTCAGGACAGGCACTTGTGCATGGAGATTGCTGCTCATTATATGGAAACTAGGCTAAAAATATATTTTATCAATCAAAAAGTAATCAATACTCTGGCCTTGGGAGCTTCTCAATGTGACCTGTCCCAGGTACCAGGCATACACTGGTAAGGGGTTGTAGTGTTGCAGTGAACTTCCAGATATTCTTGATTTTTCAGACCGTTAAGTCTCTGGTAGTTCTGGAAAACCAGCCCAGACCAGATTGCCACAGATTTGTGTGCTGATTGGAAAAGGTGCTGCTGGTTATCCGTGTGACTGGTTGTAAGTGTTTACTTGGCTTCTATATTTGCTGTGGGTTAAACCTCAGTCCAGGAAAAAAAAAAGTAAAATGACCTTTACAAGGCAGAATATATGAAGGCTTATGTGTGTCTTCTTTTCAAGTGAATAAAGATAGAAAAGTATGAATCTCAGAATTGCTCTCATATCTACACTTTGCAGTAATTATTGCAATAATTACTAGTATCAGGTGACTTGAGGAAAAAGTTTGATTTGGACAACAGTATCTCCAGTTTGAGATGTTTGCTTCTAACTAAATAATTTTATTTAACTATAGAAAGTGTAAATATTTCATAATATTTATATAACTTTGAAGGGGAATTTTCTTGAATCCATCAGTGCTATACATCGTAAGGTTTTGTTTTCTATTAATTGTTACATTTAGTAAACATATTACTAAATAGTAATCCTGTTCCTAAACAAAAGGAACAGCTGAACATCCTTAGAGAAATTCTCCAGTTGTCCCTGGCATGGGTGCAGTGTCCTATGGGCAGCCCAAAAAGTACCTTTCTCTTCAGCCTAGGAAGGGCAAATCTACAGTTTAAATAATAGTCACATTTTCTTAATCATTCAATTTTTTTGTAACAAACAGCAAGGATACTAATTAGTACCTGTCATGATGGCGTGTGCTTGTTTTTTTGGGATAGAGAACTGTGACAAGGCTTTTCTTACAGGTCATTAATTCTTTTATTATAACTCCTGTCACCAACAAATTAATGGCAGCTTTTTACTCCAGCTGGTAGTACCTGATCATCAACTGAGAAGAATGGCTTATCTTCCCCTCAGTCAGGAAAGTTGTTGCATTCCGCTGAGTACTCAGCCAAACATTTAAAACTGGAGCTGTATATTTGGATTGTCTGTAGTTGCTGAAAATCAATCCCAAGTGTCTGATTTAAAGACAATTAAGCACTTCAATTGGTTCTTCTGTTTGACAAAAAGCATCTGGAACAGTGCTGTATACAGAGCAGAGAATGCAAGACTAATAATTTCTGTGTGTTTTCTCTTTTCTGAGAATGCTACTGTGTATTATCAATCAGTTGAATAGCAGGAGGACTGAAATGTGCTTCCCCTCCTCTTCTCTCATTCCCTCACTCTAAGGACTCACTTGAGAATTAGTCTAGCCACACCATGAACTAACTCAACCCACTGAGCCATGTCTCCATGCACATCCTTATTTTATTTCATTTGAGGGCTTGGCTCATTATTTGTATAGTGAGAGAGCTGGCCTAGAGTGCCACCGGGTGAATTCTAGGAGCAGCACAAGGCAAGTGATTAGACCAAATGTCCGGGGTGAGGTTTGAGAGTGGATGGGACCTCTTCCTTAGATTTAGCTCAGGCCATAATGGAAAAGCAAAGTGATGCTTCCAATGAGGCAGGAAAAAGAAGAGTGAAACACTTACTGTCAGACATTGAACATATATCTCTCATTTAGAGATACATAAATAGGATATGAGAGCAAGAGTGTTTGGTTTGTAATGCCCCTTCTGGATGTGGCTTGCAGGTGGTTCAAGGACAAGTCCTGGGCTAGAAGTATGTCATGGGAACAACAGTTATGCTCTTATTCATGTGCTTTTGTTGCAGGGTAAATTGTTGCATGCTTTTGTTGCATGACTGAAATAGGATGGGTACTCAAACCTACCCTGCCATGTTGGGGCATTGAGCTGCTGTGACCTGCCTGGAAATGACTATTTAGGTCTTTCTTCCCCCTTATTAATCAGGGATATATTGTCTGTTGTGTGCTTAACCATAAGACAATTTGTGTCATAGTTCTTGTAGGACTCAGAAGGACACCCACACATGCAATAAAGATACCAGTTTCACCAGTTTCACATCACTTTAGCTGTCTTAACTTCTTATCTCTTTTATCCCTACATGTTCAAAAGTCTTATCTCACACAGATCTGTCCCTGCTTTTCTTGGTGACCTGAATAATGAGAGTGAGCACTTATCTGAAGAGTACATTTAGAAGAAATTCCAACTAACCAAAAAGCAGTCTTTATCTTCTGCTAGGATTTCTGGTAGGATGTCACTGAAAATACAAGTCGTTCCTTTGAATTATTATATCTGGTGGGATTAAATTTTCTTTCATAACATTCTTTACTTGCCTAATTTCCATGAAGTTTCTGTGCTTGAGTGTGATTTTATTTTTTTTCACTAGGAAGTGTCTCATAGTTTTTAAGCTTAATGATGAAAGCTTCTCAATGGGCAATCTTTTTTTTTTTTTTTAACTATCTCCTGCTTCCGATGCATAACTGTGGATCAGGTTTTTTATGAAGAAGATGATATTTTCAGAAAGAGAAGGTATAACATCAGGTTATTTTTGGATATCACGTCAGGGGAACTAGAATAGTTTGTCATTCTTCTTCTCAGATTTTCTTTGTTACTTTTATCCAGACACTTTCCATGGAACCAGAATAGCTCCCATGTAATTAGATTTAAAGAAATCTCAAGAAATAAAAGTCTGAATTAACTGTTCTTTCCATACATATTAGCTATCTAAACTTATCAGGGTTAGGGGGCTGAAATTTCCCTTTGTGCTAGGAGACCAGCACATTTTAAAACATTAATTTCACAACATTTTGAGTGGTTAATTTTCAAGCATGAAGGAATGAAGATAAATAGTGCTCTCAGTTTACCGGTATGTTCAAATTAGCCTCCTGAGCATATCTACTTCAGATTTAGAATAACATGTCCAAGAAGAGAATTTGTCCCTCAAACTATTTAAACTTAGAGGTTACAATTGAGCTCAGTTTTATGCCAAAATTTCTTACACATCATCAGCAGAAAACTATAAGTTGTCCCATGACATGTTGGTAGTTTAACCGTTATTCATAATGAATTAGATTTGAAAGATACGTTTGAGGTTTATTTTAGCTTACAGTCGAATCAAACCCATGTATCCTTATGTAAGGCATGAGAAATGTTTCATTCTTTTTGCTCACTTGAAAAATCTCCTGTAAGTGTAGTGATAGTTACAGCTGGAAGTTCCTAATTCTGCAAGAACTGTTGGGCCTAATACCAAACTACTCCAGTGAATATAATAACAGATCTGGAGTAAAAAAAGGAGACTGCTGAGGAACATAAACCTTGTTTCTAGGAAATTAAAATGTGTGGCATAATGTAACACAGAGTTTTTTGTAATACTTATGTCTTGTACAATTATTATTCCTATTGTTAAAATATCTTTTTGTTTATTTATTTATTTTAGTATATTTTGTTAATAGGAGTTGCTGGCATTTCAGGAGACTTAAAAGAAGATGAGAGTTAATAAAAATAGCTTTCTTCAAAATCACCTTTTACCAAAACAGACATTACCTCAGAAATTAGCAAAATAGTAGATGAAATTGATATGAAAGAATAACTGTTACATTAAAAAATCAAAGTAAATTCTGTTGAGTGGTAGTAAACACTACTGATTCTACAACTAGTTTTTGAATAAATTATTTTTACAGTGAAGCTAGTAGGTAGGCTTTTCTGGAGCAGAACCAGAAAAATGTATTCTGCTTTTGGATGCTTAATATAATCCATATTCCAAAT